CTTTATTTGCTTGTATAGAAAGTTTATAGAACTAAAATTACTATATAAAATATATTTTATTAGTTTTTTAAATTATGATAAAATTAACTAATAATATTAAAATTGATTGCAATTATTAAAAAAACACCAAAAGATTTAAAAACATTTGAACCAAGATTGAGTTTTGCTATTTTTGTATATAGAGCTAGATAAGTTTTTTGAAAATAACTATTAATTATATTAGATAGTAGCTAAAGTTTACTAATTAGCTTTTAAACATATTTTCAATATTTTAAACAATAGTTTGATACTGTATTTGTAGTTATATAGAGCTTATTGTTATTATTAATGCTTGGCATAATCAAACAAAAATTTGATAGTCAAATACTTGTTAATACTTATATTTAAATCAGATATCAAATGATTGCAGATTAACCAAAGCAAATATATACTATTAGTTAATCTGCAATTATTTGATGTCTGACTTAATCACAAGTATTAACAAATATTTGACTATCAAATTTTTGTTTGATTGTGCTGAGTACTAGTTATTATCTATAAAGTTCCAAAATATTCTACCAACTTTTTTTTAAATTCTTTAGATTAATGTAATTTATTATCTTTATTAAGATTATAACTATAATATTTATCTACAACTATTATTATATCTTCTGTAACTATAAGTTTAACTAAATTAAAAAAATTTACTACTACCTTATTAAAAGAATTTCTAAAATACTGTGAACTGAAAACATGGTAGTAGCTCTTAAATTTCTTTCTTGTAATTATATTCTTAGTTTTTTTTGCTATATTATATTTATATATTAAGGGTTGTCTAAATTTTTTTAAGATATTATACTCTTTTTGTATTTTTTTCTAGGCTTCTTGATATACATACTTTACTTTTAATTAAAAATAACAACAGTAATAATAGAAGTATTTATTAAAATTTAAAATCTTTAGAAAATATACCCACAACCTAAACTTTCTTCAAACTACTGATATAAATTTAAAAAACTGTTATTATTAAAGATTTCAAATTCTAGTAAGACTATATACTGAGTTGGTATTTTAAAATTATTAGTAAGTATTGTTAGATTGTTTAGAAGGCCAAAAAGTTATTTATATTCTTATTTAAACCTATTGTATTTATTATTAATTGGTAATCTACAAGTTAACCAAAGAGTAATCATAGTAAAACATAATATAGATTATTTATAAAAATTAAAGTTTTGCAAATGTGGTATACACATATTTAAAACTTTTTTTTATACTAAATTAACTACTCTTCTAACTTAAAAGACTTTTGTAAAGTTTATTGAAATACATCTAAGATAGTTAAATTATCTAAATTAGCTTAATAAATGCTAAGATATCTTTTAAAACCTTTTTTTAATTACAGTATATAAATTTTTTTAAAACAATATTATTGTTTTATAAAAAAATTTATATAGTTAAAAAAAGGTTTTTTAAAGATATCTTGGTATTTATCAAACTAATTTAAATAATTTAATTATTATTAGATATGTCTTAACAAACTCTATATATAAAAGTCTTTTAAGTTAGAAAAATAATTAACTTAGTATAAAAAAAAGTTTTAAATATATGTATATATATATATTTTTTTTTAAGTGATCTTGCTTTTATTTATGTGAACTGTTATATAATTTATGTACAAAAATACTAAATTCCTACAACTTATTGTTCTAATCTTATAAAGACTCACCAGGCTAATTATCCAGTGCAACCTGCCATAACAACTGTTTACCTCTCTTGGGATTCTTAACTTTCTAAGGATTTTGTACCTTTATCTGATACCCTCCTTGTTTATAAGTAGGCCATTGTATACCTTGTCAGGAGCATTTAAAGATCTTGTCAAATTTTAGCCAGCGAGAACCATGCTGGCTTCTTTCCCTATGTGACCCATTCTTCTATTATTCTATCCTTTTCCTTATTTATTTTTGCCTTTCCTTCATCCTTTCTGCTACTATTTTCTTCTGCTATTTTTTTCTCATAATTGGCTTCTTGTGGGTCTGTGTTTTCTTTGTCTTTTTCTTTCTTCTTTTTTCTGGGCTTCTTTCTTTTTTTCCTATTTCTTTTCTTTGGTTATATTGTTTTTTTTTTTCCATTCTGAGACTAGTTCACATCTAAAGCTTTATATGTACTTGAAGAACTGACATTAGAAGTGATTAAGGATGGTCTGTATAAACTTGCTGACTTTTCTTGCTTCACCTAGGATCATGCATATGTTTTCCTGTCTTTGTTTCGTGATTATCCCCTTCATTAGCTCTTTTTTTGTTGCAATTTTTTCTTGTGTGCTTTTGCCAAAGATTAGCTCTTGTATTTTCTGAATATTTGTAGTTTTTAGCTTTTCTTTTTTCTTTATCGCTTTTTTTAAGAAGAGTTTACTTCCTTCTTTTTCTACAATATACCAAAGTCTTTGTAGATCTGGGCATGCTGTGAAGTAGTCTTGTGTCTTTGCTTCTTGTTCACATATCTTGTATGTATTGTTTGTATACAACTCTGTTTTTCTTGTATTGAGAACTTGTATTGTTGGGAGCAGACTGTTTAGACACTTTATTTTGAATATCCACTCTTTGTTTTGAGTTGAACTTCTGCACCTTTTTCCTTTTACTTGCCCTATATCTTTCCAAACTTCACTCCACACTACTGTGTTTGCTTCTTGTTTAGCATTAACCTACTTGTTTATACTTTTGAGTTCCTTCCACTCCATATTTATACTGATTTCTGTTAGTTGTGTGATGAAACTTCATGTTGCATTATCAACTCTTATATTTTTTCACTTTAGCTCTGTTATTGCTTGCTTGTTTCATAGCTATCTTGGGTTAACTAATGCTGAATTGTGAATGCCTTTCTTTGCCAGTCTGTCTGCCTTTTCATTTTCTTTTACTCTGCTATATACCTTTATTTTTCTAAACCAGATCTTAAGCTCTTTTAGGTTAATAGTCTATTGTATTTGCTCTAGCAAACAGAGATTTTTCCTTTTTAATATTTTAGATGCTTTTTTTTTCTTTTGGCTTGCCTGTATTGCCTAAATTGCTGTAGCGCTGTTAGTGCATATATCAATCTTTGCCTTGCAGGGAGCTACTAGAAGGGCTGTCTATGCACCTAGTTCAGCTCTGGTTGAGGATAGCCAATCTTTTATTGCCCCATAGTAGCTAGCTAGAATTTGCTTGCTTGCTTTGTTTCTTTCTTCTGAAACTGCAACCTAGCCAAGACCTATTTTTTTCCTCTCTGGTTCCTCTTCTGGGTTAAGCAGGGACCCATCTGTGTAGAACATGATCTTTGTTTTCTCTCTTAGTTTTGTTGCTACTTCTTTTAATATTGCTGTAGCTTGTATATTTTTGATAGCTTGGTCTATTATTTCTTCTTCTAGTGGGTATATTATAATCTCCTTTAATTGTAGCTCCTGTTGTCTCTCTTCTCTGTCTGATAATGGCTCTGCTTGTTGAAGTACGCTTGTAAAGCAGCTTAGTGGAACACATAGTTTTTGTCTCTCTTCTTGGCTTGACAGCTTCTTGATGAACCTTGGGCTAATTTTTACCATATCACTTTTCTAGCTTCTCTTTGTACAAGTGATGTCTGTGCAATTTCCTCTTGCCATATTTATGTTGCACTCTTTGCACCTGTCAAGTATAAGAAGGTTCTCTTGAGAATTTAGAGCAGCCAACCAATGTTTAGTTATTACTATTTTTTTTTTTTTTTTTCTACTATCCTTTCTATCTCTGTCGTGTTATTAGTTCTAATAAGAACCCATTCCTTTCTTCTTCTGTTATCACTTATTGGTGCAAGGTCTACCTGAGGTGATAGATGATTGGGTATTTTTGCTTTTAGATCTGGCTTGACTTCTCTCTTATTCGTATTCTTGAGAGCCTTTTCTTTGATTTTCTTGAACTAGTTTGAAGTCTTTCCAGCTATTTTTTTCCTTTTACACTTCTTAATTTGGCTCCATGTTAGCAATTTTAACCCTTCTCTATCTAATACTTGCTCAAGTACTATAATACCCATTTCTTTTTCTTGTGCAAATTTTCTTGACTCTTTGTCATCTAGTAGATCAACTATCTCCAGGCCTGACTCTACTAGTTTAAGGTTGTTTTCTTTTTCTCTTGACCTTATACTTAGGTTCATTTCTTTGGCTGCGACTATAATTTTGTATGCTAGATTTTGTTTAGATACAATTTTTTTAAGTCTTTTAGTACTTAATTCTGTTATGCATCTTGTACTTTTGCAATTGATCTGGGCTTGCTATATTCTAATCCATGTTGTCTTGCCTATTTCGTTGTTGCTATTTAATCTTTTTCTTAGCTCTGTTATATAGTATACCATTTGATTCTGCTATATTGTTCTAAGCCCTACAATGTTTTTATGTGCCATGATTGCATTCGCTGCTGTAGTTGCTAAATTTAATTTGTTTTTAATTACTTTAAGCAGCGGGCTTTGTAATCTGTCGCATTGGTCTCTTGGGATTATACAGTGCTGTATTCTGTATTCTAGTCTTGGGATGAGTAACTCTATTGTTTATATAAATTATTTTAGACAAAAATATCTGTATTATAGTAACAGATTTTTCAAATTGGGTTGGGTTTATAACCTGTTACTGGGATTATACTAACGCCTCTAGACACTGAAAGCTTCTAAAAGTATTTATATCATTGTACAAAAAAATGCAAACTAGTATAGACAGTACAAACCTATGATAAGCTTTTTAAAAAATGAAAAGTATTTATATATAGAATCTAGAGATCTGAAACTGGCTTGAAGAACTCCAAGTCTTGGAAAAATCCTAAGTAAGAAGTTTAGATCACAATAAAACATGAAATATTAATAAAATATGCGATTTTGTGAAATAATCAGTTATTTATTTATTAAATGTAAAGTTTTTTTCTTGTACGTATTTGAAGAAAAATACACCAATTTAAATAAAATCCTAATATTAACACTGCTCCAAATAAAAATTTAGAACTTTAATTGTAACTATTACATATTCGAAAGATAATAGCCTAGTGACTCTCTTGATTGTTAGTTGATGTTTTGTTCTTTTTATTTTTTCTCTTAATTGAAGCTTCAATCATTTCTCTATTTTTTTTTTTTTTTTTTTTAAAAAAAAAAAAAAAATTAATAAAAAATTAAAAAAATTAAAATAAAAATAAAAATAAAATTAAGATTAATACCTTTTACGTTTTATTTTTTTCTTGTCGTAATCAGATCTCGTATCAATAGTCTTACGTTTAATTGGTTTTTTACGTAATTGCTGCTTAGATTCTTTTGAGGGATTTTTCAATTCAAGCATCCAATTAGGAACTTCACATCCTGAATCTTTCATTACATTCACTATACTATTAAACCAAATAGTAAAGTATTAATAAAATAAATAGATAAATAAATATATATGTATATATATTAATGTATGTATACCTCTTCAAATAAGGAGCATCATCTTTTGTATAATAAGTAATGGCTTCGCCCGATTTACCAGCTCTACCGGTTCTACCAATTCTATGAATGTAACTTTGTATTGACTGTGGAAAATCAAAACAATTAAAGAACTTAAAGACAAACCTTCCTCCAAAAAATCCTTACTCTATTACCAATACAAACAAATACAATATTTTAAAAACCACTATTCCTCCTCTAATTTCAATTCTCTTTTCCATAACTACCAATCACAATATCCTGAAGACTCTCTTCCTACAAATGATCCTTCATTTATGCAAATTAAGAATGAGTTTCAAATCATCAAAACTGCATTTAACCATCAATATCAACAAGAACTTTACTCTGAAATTAAACAAAAAATAGAAAATCATAACAAAACCTTTCTTGAA